AGAGAGAGAGAGAGACGCCAACAGTGTTTCGACAGAATTAACATGTTGGTAGGAGGGATATCTGATTTTCAATTTGTTGCTTACAACAGAGACGCAACCAGGCTTAACAGAATACTAACTGGTTTAAAGGAGAAGGCCAAGAAATCAATTTTCAATTGTCATCTTCAACCAGTTAACCGAGAAATAGAAAGCTAATATGGGGCCATCCATCCATAACCAAATGGTATCCATTTGTATCTAAAAAAAGAGTTTTGTAATACGTCATTCTAATCGTGATGTTAGAAAACACGACTAACAACCTTTTATATGTATTGTTCTTATTTTGAAGATGATGTCATTAAAGGTAATTTTCAAACACGTCCTAGATAGTAGGAAAAAACAGGTGACAAAAAAATCTCATTTGAAAGTAAAACTTCATTTATAGAGTATAAAAATTACCTCTATTGCCCCTACCCTAAAATTAGGTTTGATAGAACTTTAGGTATTTGTGGTCAAAATTTTGGGAGTAGGGTTTTCTAACATCACCATAAGAGTGTATTATAGAAGAATCATTAAAAAGGAAAAGAAAAAAAAAAGAGATTATATACCCTAGTTATCATGACTGGGAAAATATTTGACATTCAGTTTCTCTCGATAAGCTATAACTCCACACCCACACAAAGTTTCGTATGAATAACATAGATTCTAGATACAAATGCACATACACCCATGGTGGTACCACACACGCACAGAGAGAGAGAGAGAGAGGGCACTACCCGAATGGACACCCAAAGGCTTTGGCCAAACCTCACACTAGAGGGAGATGCCAACTGCCAGTAAGAACGGTAGATCCCTGGGGTCTTAGGGGCTCTCAGTTGCAGAGAAACGTCCCACTCCCTCCCAATAGGGACACCTTCTACCGGAATCTGCAAAACAAAACAGTTGCACCACTGTTACTAACCACCTCAATTTACCCATGGAATAAACCAAAAAACAAAGTTTACTAAGATTAGCTAGTCAAAATAACCAACATCTAAACCCCAAAGTTATCTAGCCAAAAGAAAATAAAACCCTAACTTAAATGAGCACTAAGATCCAAAAATTCCTCATTACCTAAAACTCCTCACTACTTGGGGAATAACAAAATGCAATATAGGACTCCAATGCACTACATAGTATACATACTCCATTGCGTTAACTGTACCCAAGGTAATGCCATGGTGGACCCCACCGCAGTTAATCTCTGCTGTCCATCATGAGGTGGATATTCCATGGACTTCTGTATCTTGAAGTATGGTACATACTAGTCTTCAAAAATTACTTAGGTCAAGTTAATTTAACCAAGTCAAATCATTTTAGCTCCTGAATGAGTTCTATAATGAAAAACTCAGGTTGGATCTGAGTCATACAGCTTTTAGATTAAAACTGGAGCTCATAGGCAAATCCAATTGTGGGTCTTTTGGTAGAGCATGTGTTTCTCTCTTGGATCTTGGTCTCAAGTTCGAACACTTATGTTGCCACAAAACCTTAGACAAACCTTGCCCAATAAATGAACGAAATCCAGCGAATTCATTCACTCAGACACTGTCCGAGTCAAGGTCTGAGTTCTGAAACTTTAAAAACTAGTACATAGTGTAGAAGTTTGCAATTAACACTCACCTCCAACTTCGACGTCCTTGTAAAACCAAGAGGGTCACCACTTGTAAAAACCAGCTGAGTGTTGTAACGCCATGGGGAGTTCCCACTGTTGCGAAGCCTCCATATCTTGGTGAAAAGTGTATTGGGTGCCACAATCATTCCATCAGGAATGGTAACATCTTTGACAAAGGTGCTATTCAACTTCAAAGGACCGATAAGTTTTGATTTGCCAAACAAGCGGTGATGCTAAAAGAGAGGAAGAAATAGAAAAAAAAAAAAAACAAACTGAGTAATAGAAAAAAGAAAAAAGCAAAAGAAAGAAAGAAAGGCTGAAATAGCAAATTCGCTAACCACTTACATGGTGGGGAGAGAACCTAGGCAAATACATGCTGATTGGACGATCGAGCCTCATGTATTCCCCTGCCTTGCCCATTTCCTCATAGCAATCATGGCATAAATCATAGTTGTCCTTTCTGCAACTCAACAAAACATTGGCCGCAACCCAAAAATAGATCAAAAAACAAGAAAACATGAACATCTGCAACACAGCATAGCCAGACATAGAATAGGTTCCAATTCCTCATTTAAATGTTTCAATTTAAGATTAATAAAAAGTTCAAGTACAATCTTGATCAAAATCTAAGGTGCGCCCAAACAATACTAACTTGACAAAGTTTGGCAATGACCAGTGTGTTGTGATCTGTTTCCTGTTCAGAAAAAGAAACATCTATTTTTCTCTTTTGATGGCTACAGCGGTATTTATTTCTTTCAAATAAATAGAATATATATTTCTGTTCGATGGAATTCTAATTTCACCATAGAGAGGCTCTGACATTGAAACCCAAGTCAGATTACCATACTTACTGTGCAGACTTGTACCTCGTGCCAATTATGGGGTGCACACCACAACCATCGCATATTATGCCATTGTGGATGGATTGAGGCATGTCAATAGATGGTAAAGAACTCCCATCAAAGCGACTGAACACATGAGGAATTGACCGGACCTCAAAAGAGTCACCCTTCTTCTTACCTGCAAAAGCATAGTCTCATAGCCAAAAACAGAAAAGGAGAGCCAACGGACAACAAACGCTGAGAGGCAGAAGAGAAACAAGGTGAGAGGGTACAATACCTGTATCAATAAAAGAAGAATCGCTCATCTCCCTAAACTTGGGATTGGGAAGATCTGCAAAATTGTCAGGTGGGAAAAAACATGGGGGTGTCTGTGGAGTTTGGATCGGATTAAAACAAGTATTCAGGATTGGCTGGCTGGCTGATGGTCCTGCACTGCTTGTTTCGCCTAACCCGTCGTGTTTCTCATAACCTTGTGTCTTCTCTTGAAGGGTAGAGTCATGTTTTTCAGGACTTCTGGCCTTGGATTGCACGGGAAACTCTGATAGTTTCTCGAGAGCTTTTAGAACATTTGCCCCGGCTTGAGGGGTCGACTCAGTGTATTTCTCTTGACTTGTTGCCTTGATTTTACGGGTTGTCTCAGACTGAGGAGTAGACTTGGGTCCAGGAGAAGTCTTACCAAAAGGTTCAGAAACCTGAGGAGGAACAGGGTTCACAGGGGTCGAGGCACCATTACCTGGAGGAGTATACACTGCATCAACAAGCTCCAAGGCTTTCAAGAAGTTGGCGAACTCCTCAACTTTAGATGCCCCAAACTTAGAGTGAAGATCATTAGAGAAAGTCAGAAGGGATTTTCGAACACGGTCTGGTACAGTTTTCAAGGTCATTTCAAGGAGAGCCTGGATATCAGGAGATGAATGTGCTCCAGGGGTAGGGGAAGTCGTGGGTTTAGAAGCTTCAGGGAGAGAACTTTCCCAGGGTGTCTCGGTTAGAGAGACAGTAAGGCGCAAGGGATCCAGATGCTGCCGAATGGCATCAGAGAGGTCATCATCATCAGCCAGAGTCACCACATCATCATCTTCATCTATGTAGGTAATGGCGAAATCCTCAATCGGCTTGAGATTAAAGAGTTTGCGAATCTTGTCTTTGAGCATATCCATATTAAAGCCAGAGGTTCCATTGCCTACTGCCCAAATGCTAAAACGTCGCAGCGTGGATCCATATTTCACCTGAATGATTAGAAAAAGAAGGTCACTCAGTAATTAACACATAAAGGCACGTGCAGAGACAAGCATTTGGTATAATGAAAAAACAAACGATGTGGAAAGCACATTTCGAACTAATGGCAATAAATCCTATACAACCACCCAGATTCAGTGTTTTCAGTTCAAGAATATCACTTGATATGAATAGTACACGTTGTCATGGAGCATTCCTAGCACATAATTACCAGAAGATGTCTATAAGAAAAAGGAAAACAGGCATTACAATTGCAGGAAGGGCTTTCAAGTGGAGAAAAGAGGCAGCCTAGTATATAAGCATCACAATGCCTAGTGACAATTATTGACACAATTACCAGTTTTCCGTGAGACAGCGTGTATTGCACACAGAATTTGGTTAAGGAGAAAGATGCAGTTTTGAGCTGATTGATTTCAGATTTCAAATTTCAATGAAGTCAGCCATAAGCATCACAATGCCTAGTGACACTTACTGACACAATTACCAGTTCTCTGTGAGGCAGCGTGTGTTCCTTACAGAATTTGGTTAAGGAGGAAGATGTAGTTTGATCTGATTGATTTAAAATTTCAATGAAGTCTTACTATCAATAAGGTTCCTCGAGCTTTTGTTTGAAGTTCAACTTTTTTATCAAACACGATACTTGAACAGTATTAAGAAGTTCTAAACTTCCAGGAAGACATTCCTGTTATCAAACACGCCCATAGAGAAAGTGGTAGTTGGACTGAAACTTTTTTTTCACTACTATTCCTATTTAATTGGATCCCAATCTTAAGGACTAAAATAGAAGACTACTCAAGAACTGGCAACCATGTAAAAAAGCCTCAATTCTTGATCGATTGAATGAATGCACTCACTAATAATGTGAGAGTTCAACTAATTCATTGATCAATTGAATGAATACCATCCATTCTTTTCCAAGTCTCACTTTCATTATATTTCAGTTTACAAAGTTGAAGTGATTATTTACGTGAACCATTTTATGTGAACCTTGACGCTACCAGAGAAGCAAAGGCTGTGGCTTCCATAAAAAGGACTAGATCATGTAATAAATAAATAAATAAAATATACCACATAGAATGCAATTAAGCATCCACAACCAGGCCAATTTATTGCTCATCCCATGAGAAAAAAATTGTGGGCAGATAGTTCACTTCAAGGCACATTTATTTCATTATTCATTTATTTCATTATTCATTATTTCATTTATTTCATTATTTAGGGTGACGCTGGAACAGGGCATCACCCTAATGAGTTGTATATGTGCATGTGCCATAAAGAATTAAGAATTTCAATTACAACCACAAAAATCTATTCGATATCAAGAATAGACCATGTTCAGGAGAGGAGGAATAAAATAAAAAACAGTAATAAGCAAGTAAACTCGGGCAGGAGATGATCAGACCCTGCTGCAAATTATGAGCATACAATTTTTCATTGACAAGAAAAGTAAGACAACAGTCATTGAAGAAGCATAGCAAGATAATAATTAGGGATAACTGCGATCGCACATACAATATGGTTTTTTAGGATTCATAGAATTCGAAGACCTCAAGAAAAATAAGATACTTCTGTCGCTAGATCTTCAAACAAAGAACCAAATGCCTTCTCCACCAAAGAACTTTTGAAACACACAATTTGGATACTACACTTAATTTTAATCTGCTTTCATAATTAATGCCAAGTTTAATTTCACCAGATAAGTGAGATCCATCAAAATCCCTTCCTGACCACAATGGGGCATAAGCCGTTAAGTACTCTCTCATCATGTTATCAATGATATTTACAACTGACAACCTCACCCTACCAAAAATAATTTAAACAGTAACTCACTAAGCAAGAGATAGGGAAAAGGAGAATTCCAGCCTAAAACGTCACATGGCAAAAAAAGCAAAAGTATAGTAACTTCAAGTAATTCCAAAGCTAGACCAGGAAGCAACCGGTAGATCTCAGATATCAAATCGAATACAATTAACAAACAGAACCTCAATTACAATCATAAAAAACTATTCGATATCAAGAATAGACCATGTTTGGGAGAGGAGGAATAAAATGAAAAACAGTAATAAGCAAGTAAGTTCGGGCAGGAGATAGTTAGACCCTGCTGCAGATTATGAGCAAATAATTTTTCATTGACAAGAAAAGCAAGGCAACAATCATTGTAGAATCAAAGCAAGATAACAATCAGGGATCACTGCGATATCACATATGATACGTTTTTTTAGATTTCATAGATTAGAAGACCTAAAAAAAAATAAGATACTTCAGTTGGTAAATCTTCGAAGAAAGAACCACATCCCTTCTCCACCAAAGAACTATTGAAACACACAATTTGGATACTCCAATAATTTTAATTTCCTTTCATAATTAATTCCAAGCTTAGTTTCACCAGATTGGTGAGATCCATCAAAACACCTTCCTGATCACAATGGAGCATAAGCTGTTAAGTTTTGTCATCACGTTATCAATGATATTTACAACTGACAACGCGCCCTACCAAACGTAATTTGAACAGTGACTGAGCAAGAGAAAGGGAAAAGGAGAATTCCAACCTAAAAAGTCACACGGCAAAACAACAAAAGAATGTATAGTAACTTCAAGTAACCCCAAAGGTAGACCAGGAAGTAACCAATATATCTCAGATATCAAATCGAATACACTTAACTGACCGAATTACCACAATAACGGGCACACAAATAATAATAATAATAACAACAATAAGAATGCTAGGAAAAAATTTCTGTGAGTCAAGGAAGGCATGCATCCCTTAAATATCAAAGCATCCATCTTTTAAGACGGCCGTTAAGAAAAGGGCACCCAACTAAAATATGAAATAGGTGGTGTAAAAAACATACAAAAGAAAAAAAAATCATTTTTGAATTTCAAAAATTTTGTTGTCTTCATATTCAAGATCATGGATCTCTAAAAATTTAGATCCAAATCCCATCTTTAAGATGACTTTGGACTTTGGAGGGGGGATGCACATGCATAGATGACTCCGCAGACTCATATAAACCCCATCCATCATCATCATCATCATCATCATCATCATCATCATCATCATCGTCACCACCATCATAATAATAATAACAACAACAACAACAACATCCAAAATCATTCGTCACATAAGTAGGACAAGCCAAAAGAAGAACTTCCACAATCCACATCCATGCAAACTCAAAATAATTACCGGAAAAAGGGTTTTCAAACTGGAAAAGAAGCGATAAGCATAGATGGAAATGACATATGAAGCCAAGAAAAGAAAACTTATCAAATACATCAGAGCACTATGAGTGAAAGCAGTTAATTTCAGTGATCTAACTCGATCAAGTGACTACTATTGACCATAAAGCAGCACCAAAAGATCAAAGCAAATAATAAGCAAAAGGGAACAAATAGATCAGACAGAAATAAAGTCATCTGTATTCTCATGCATGAAAAAGTGTAATATCATGCAATTGAGGCAGACAAGCAGCAACCTTCAGTAAACCCTAACTATCACAACAAAATTCAGTAAACCCTAGTTCATCAACGGTAAAAAAGATGAAGAAATACTAAAAATTTCAAACAAAAACAGTGCAAAAAACGAGAGAAAAAGCTAAACAATCGAAAAGCATTCACGAAAACCAACCTTGATAACTAGGTCGTCCGCCATGATCAGGAAGCAAGGTGGATACTGAGGTTGGGGAAATTAGGGTAAACAGAGCAGAAACAAAAATAGGCGGAGAGAACAACAAGAAAGAAATAAGCGTGGTGTATCTATACTTGGAAAGAGAAAGATCGATATATAAAGAGAAAGTTTAGAGAGAGAGTCTTAATGGTTATATATTTAGAGAGAGAAACAGGAAGAAATATGTGTGAAAGAACAGGTGGCGTAAAATCAAAGTAGAAATTGCAGTGAAACCGGAGACTGAATCGATCTGAAGAGCTCAGAAAAAGGGGTCATGGAGACACGAGGAATCGGACACAAACACCAAGCGACTCGTACTCTTGCGCCATTGGTGCGTTTATATAGCGTCGCAATGCGCTCTTCTTCTCTTTTTTTTCTTCGTTCCCAAGAATACGAATCACGCGAAACTAAAGACACCAATGCTGACGTATGCTGAACTCTCGCGAGATCATACTGAATACCTTGCTCCAACGGGCAAAGCTGAACTCCCGCGAAATCATACTGAATACCTGCTCCATCGGGCGAAAGAGATGCTGGGGTGGACCTTTTAGGTCCTCAGTTTTTTGGCATCCTCCAAAATATCATAAGATGATTGTTTTTGAGAAATAAACTTGTATTTTGGTTATTTAATGCTTAAACTTCACCTTCCTAGAAGTTGGCAGGAATCAAATTTGAGATTTTTTTTAACACATTAGCGATTTATTTGTATAGTTTTTTGTGGGGTGCCGTTTGTATAGAGCCGAGGCTCTAAAGAATCAAATTAGAGCCCACCTTTAAATAGTGTTGAGAATTATGGTTTCAATACTGGAAATTTTGTGATAGCCTTAAATTATATTTTCATCTTCAGTTATAAATTTTAAAGCTTCAAAAATAGTGTATATCAAGCAGATCTATGAAAATCTTGAAAATTAACAGACTAAAAATGCGTTAAAAGATGCACTATTTTCAAAACTTAAAATTTATATTTTTTTCATGTCCATGCATTTGATGGTGAGATGATCAATTTGATGATATTTAGGCATGAAAACAACCTCTTCTAGTGAAAGTTATGAGGCAGGCTCTATTTTGATTGTTTAGAGCCTCGATTCTTTATTAACTTTTCTCTTTTTAATTTTTTTTTTTTTTAGTAGTTTTTTTTGGTGGGTATCTATAGTTTTGTTTTTTTGGTCATTCTTTTTTTGGTGGGTCTAATAATAAGAATGGAACTTGAGATGTAGTGTTGTAGGGATTGAAGTTTAGATGTAGCATTGAATGATATCAACTACCAACTACTCAAACCTAAATCCATTTCCTTGACTTTAGCAGCTATGTTAAGGGATTGCGTCCCAAACTTTCAGTCTTAAATATTGGGTGTATACTCGAAAGAGTAAATAGACATTGTGCTCCTGCAGAAGTATGAAACCCTTTGGCTTAAATAATCCTGCCAGATCTTTGTAAGATGTAACGATTGCACCATTTTGAGATTTAAATAATTAGAAAGTCGCCCCTCTTTAACTGTTTGTGCTTTTTATAAAAAAAGATTACTGAAGATAAAGGTTAACATGCCTTGGGGCATAAGAAAAATGAAAGAAAAATCCTGTCCCAAATCTCGATGGGAATTACGAAAAGACCCTCAAACTGATTCTCTCACCATGTATATGAAAAAAAATTAAAAGGAAGGAAGGGGGAAATATTAAGTCTTATAAATATGGGTGTGGTTTGTACAAGGCAGAGGCCGTAAACAATAGAAAATAAGGCGCAACTTGAAATAGTGTAGAAAGATGTTATTTTAATACTGAAAATCTTTACGATGGCAAAAATTTATTTTCATCTCTAATTATAAAATTTGGAGCTTAAATAATAACGTAGATTGAGCAGATCATACTTGATAATCTTGAAAATTGACGATCTAAAACATGCAGTACAAGATGCACTATTTCCATGATTTGAAATCCTTTTTTTTTTCATGTCCATACATTCTAAGGTCGAGATGATCGATTTGAGGATATTTGAGCATCGAAACAACCTCTTCTAGTGAATTTTTTAGGGGCACCTTAATTTGATTATTTAGGGCCTCACCTTTATATAAACTTTTTCCCATAAGTATTATGTCTTATTTAACTATTTGGGTATGCATATCTATCATATTAATACTTATTTTAAACCATTATTGGGATTCTGATGGCAAAAATTATATATCAAGTCAAGATTTTAAGATGCAACTTTGCTTTCTTTTACATAAAGCCTAATGGGGCTAGGATTGGGTAGTGTTGGGTCTGGGTCAACCTAAAACCAGATTTAACCCGACTGGGTTTAGGTTAGACCCGGACCCGATCCCGACTCGGGTAGCGTCCTCGTTAATTGGACTTTGGGTGCCAAGTCTATATATATATATATATGGTCACTATAGATTTATAGGAAAAGTAGAGGATAAGACCATTTATTTATGGTACAAGAATAACACCTTTACCAACGGCCGTTAGATTTAAAATCAGATAGTTGAGGATATACCATTAACTAAGCTCAAATTTTAAAATAATATTTCTTGATCTTTGAAACACATCTTAAGCTTTAGGGTCTGACATCTAACGATTTAGAGTTATTGCAACTTCCTTGTACCAAATAGAAACTGATCACATAATATACAAGCCATATTTATAGTCACCTTACACATATAAATACTAGGTGGAATGGAGTCAAGTTGGACACGATCACACCCGGCTCCACCTTATAAGGGTCCAAGTTACCAAACCTGACCCGAGTCGACTCTTGTCAAATAGATCAAAACCAAACCCCTGAGGTCTATTGTTTCAATCTAAACATGGACCCAGTCGGGTCAATCCTCGAGTCAATGAGAACCCAACCCATTTCCCATCCATCAGTAAAATGGTCAAACCACCATAAGAAACTAGTTAGCTTAATGTACCTACAAAATTATGTGGTTATTTTATTAAAAAGAGTAATTTGTACGGTTGCTTTTTTAAATGTGTACACCATGTAGTTTTCCCCTACAACATAGAATATCTATTCTTCTTCTACCATCCAGCCGTCCAATTTTGATCAAGAGAGCCACTCATCGTTTGATCTTAGATCCGACATCTCAAAGTATTTTTTTTTAGTTTTTTTATACAAATTGTATAAATATGAAATTTAGTATGTGACATCTTCTCATTGGGGCACACCTATAAAAAATATTAAAAAGAATTTTTCAATAAAATACAATGATCAAAATACCCCTTGAAACTTTCAGGAGTATTTTGGTCATTTTATGCTATTGAAAATATTTTTTTTTATATTTTTTCGCTAGTGCGAGTTTAATAGTGGATTGGACGTCTAAAATTTGTTGTCAAAATAGTTTATAGAAAAAAATTATAAGTAAAACAGTGTAAAGACGTGACATGGTGATTGGGGCAATCTTAACCCTCCAATATAGTTTTGATGTTCAAAAACTCAGCATAACCATCTCAATTTTGACAATCATGGACCATTCATTTCAAGTGCTTATAGCTCCTCCACTCTTGTTTACAACACAAAACCTCTTTGAATTTATACTTTAAATTAAACAATTGATTTTGTTTAATAAAGAATCTTGGGATCCATCAAATTACGGTTGAAATAAGCTTCCTAATCTCAAGAGATCATCTATTTACGAGAGCCACCCGACAGAAGCGATTTGAAATCACACAAAATTGAAAACAAAAACACAAAAAAATAAGAAAATAAATTATGCAAAACCCAAAAAAATGAAAGATTTATTTGAATCAAATCCCTCTAGTTCGGCACCCAAAGTTGACGGCCCAGAGATTAGACTGGCAGTTGAAGTGCCCTCATTTCTTATTCCCTACTAGAATGTGTTCGGATGTGACCTTTGATTTCAAAGATCATCCTTGTCGTTGGAGTATCTTACCATCCATTAACGGAGAGAGAAGATAGAGTGGTAGCTGATGGCCCCAGCAAGCCCTCGCCACCGGCCACCCTCCAGCCATGGCTAGTAGCCGATGCCCCAAGCGATTGCCTTCAAGCCACCGCTCCATCCTTTGTCTTCAGTCACCCCTGGGGTTTGGAGATATGCAGGGTTTCATATATCTTCCTTGGTTTTTGTAGGGTAGCGGCCATATCCATCAAACAAGCTAGATACAGTTTCTATAAGGACAAATCCAGTATCTGGTGTGCCAATCCAGTCGCCTGCAGCCATCTTGAGACCAATGAACCCAACCCTGCTTGCTTCCCCCTCTTCCCTCTCTCTTGCCCTCCTTCTGTTTTGTTTTTTTGTTTTTTGCTTTGTTTTTGCTTTTTCCCTTTCTCTCTTAGATGCTGTCTTTTTTCTTTCTATGTTATGGTCCTCTCTGCTTATCCTTTCTCCTCTCCCTCAACCTCTCTCCTCCTTTAGCTCTTTGATGTGTTTTTTTTTTTGTAATTGTTTTTTTTATCTTTTTTTTTACCACATTAGCATCCATAACCCCGGTTTTCTTAGCCGGCCTCCTCCTCTTTTTCCTAGAGAGAGAGAGAGAGACATGCCTTTTAAGTTGAGGAGGTGGGGGGTTTCTCTCGTCCCTCCTTCTCCCCGCCCTCCCTTCTCACCCATCCTTCGCTTTCATTTGTGGCCTATTCTAATGCTTTGGGCCTTGACCCTCCCCCGACATTGAACTCTCCAAGCTTGGGTTGACACCTAAAATAGGCACACCTTCCTTAGGGGCCCTCGAAGGTTTGGAGTTCCACTGTATCTTGCCCAAGACTAACACCGTAGATAGGGGATGGTCGATTTCTTGACCTTGGTGTAGCCTGTGCACCGTGACATACTACAATTGTTCAGAGAGTTTACTAAGTTTAGTCTCCTCTTTCACTGCACCTTAGTTTTCTTCTTAGTTCTTTTTGTTGCTATTCTCTAGGTTCCTTTCTCTTTAGTTTTTCTACTCTTCAACCACTTTCTTACCCACTAATCCTGTGCAGGTTATTGATAACCGGCTTGTGAGGTTATTGATAAATGAGATGTTCATTATTTGAGGGTTATGATCTATGGTTTGGTTTTACTCGGATGCGGAGGAGACTGTTGTTTATGAAAGCAGTTTCGTTTGGATTGGTTGGGTTATTGAGAATGCTCATGGTTTTCGGTCTGTAGATATTATATATGTTTTGTTGGTTTAGGATAGGTCACTTTGGGGAGTAAGGGTTTAGTCTCTTTATTTCATCATCTCTTCTTTCTATTGTAACCTTGAGTCCTGTTATATTAATGAAAGTAACAGTTACCATTAAAAAATAAAAGAAAAAAAAATGTGTTTGGCAATTTTTCAAGACCCATAATCATATTTTTTATAAGCAAAAAAAATTAAAAGAAAACAAATCATGGGTAAGAGTCAAAAAAAAAAAAAGGGAAAAG